AAAATAAAATCAGAAGAAGAAGAGAAAAGAGGAGAGAAAGAAATGGTATCATATCCTACATTATCCATCAACACTTTGATTAATAACGAATTATGGAGGTCTCATCATCGACCTACAAAATGAAAATGAGATGAAAAGCCCAATAACAAATGGGAATAAGAAATCAATTTCTAAAATGACAATAAAATCTCTAATAGAAAATAAAAGCTCTAAAAGAAATTTAAAATAATATAAGCATAGAAAAATGCTATATAAAATATATATATATATATATATATATATATATATATATATATATATATATATATATATATATATATATATATATATATATATATATATATATATATATATATATATATATATATATATATATATATATATATAATATCTAAAATAAAAATATAATACATAAACCTTTCTAAAAGAAAATAGTAAAAAAATATATACATGTATTAAAGTATATTACAAACTAAAAGAAAAATAATATACATGGGGGGGGGGGGGGGGGTACAGCAGAGAACAAGAGGGTACAACAAGGAATCCACATGGTTGGGCTTGGCCCAACTTCAAAATAAACAAACAGCACAATAATAAACAGAAAGGTTGTGCACGAATGGATAGGGGTGCATTAGGGAATCCGGCTGGGCCTTGAGCCTAACATCACAAACAACACAATAAACAGTAGGGGTGCATAATGAAAACGGGGAGTGCATCCAAATAATGAAAATTAGGCCCAAGGCCCACTAACCAATTGAGGAGGTCCACGAAGCTCTTCCCTCTTCCTCGCTTCAGTTAACAACAAACCCTAGCCGCCGTTTTCATCCTCAACTTCTCTCAGTTCAATTCCTCCGCTTCTTCCTCCAAAATCCCTTCCAACCAAAACCTATCTTACTCTCAGCTTAACTTCATTTCATTCAAACATCATCGTTACCTGCAACATTAAAATGAACAAACAAAATCCAGATGATTATCCCTATATTTTCTGTCGAGTACCGTGAGAGTATATATGAGCTCCGTTTGAGATGTTGGAGGAGATTGAAGCTTCGTTCATGACGAACTTCTGAAACAAGCTCATGAAGATCTGGAGATCTGAGGATTTGGAAAAATCGTTGAAGGTACGAAGACAATACGAAGGCGATGAAGTGAATACGAAATTGGTTCTGGATTGAAGTTGATTGAAGCTTGAGGTGATCTTTGTTGAGGTTGTTGATAAGTTGTGGTTAAAGTTTTAGATCCGGAAGTTTGGATGAACTTCGTTGAGTTAATGGTGACGAGATTTGAGATTGCTGTTGAATCTGTGGGAGATCTGGAGTTACATGTTGATGATTATGGAGAATCTGCTGGGCGAGGACGGTTCGATTGGATGTTTTGCCTGTAGATCTGTGAGTTTGAAATCCGTGGGTAATGAAGATCTAAGTTTAGATCTGGGTTTCTCCGATGGAAGTTTAATGTTGGTTGATGCTCAGAAGAGACGATGGGGGTGGAAATAAGAGGTTTGGTGGTTCGTTGAATTGGTGTTGATGAATGTTTGAAGATCTGATGAAGGTGTTAGGAAATCTGGAAAGTTAATGATGAACGCGGTTGAAGATCTTGATGAACAAGATGAGTGTTCATGGATAAATCTGGGAAATTCTTGAAGGTTGATGAACATCGTATGAGTTTCTAGAAAAAAGCTTGAAGGTGGATGAATACAAATGAAGGTTTATGAAGCAAATCTGGAAAAACTGTATGAATGTTGATGAAGATCATATGAAGATCTAGTGAACATTGATGAACAGTATGAAGTTTTCGGCGAGTGATGAATTTTCCGGTGATGTTTCCGGTGTGAGGGCGGTGGCGTTTGATTTTTCCGGTGGGACTGCTTTAGGGTTTACATTGGAACATGTGTCGCCATTAATAAAGAGTGAGAGTGAACAGGGTTTTATAGCCCTGACACAGTGAAACTTGCCCTGCGAAAACATGATTAGCTGACCAAATAATTAAAGCTGAGATTAGTTAATGATAATGCCACTACTAGAAAAAAGACATTTGGGAAAATTATTTTACATCGGGTATTCACTCGAACCAATGTAAAATCTAAAAATATAAACACGGTGGCAGTATCGTAATTAATAAAAAAAAGTTTTATAACATCTATTACATCGGGCCAATCAATCCACCGATGTAAAAAATTAAAAAAAATTAGTAAAAGAGTTTTTAAATCGGGTATCTTTCCAACCGATTTAAAAAATAATATTAAAAAATAATTAATGAATGAGATTTTAAATCGGTTCTCAAATCCACCGATTTAAAAAGCCACTCAAAAGTAATAATAAAAAAAATTAATAAATTAGATTTTAAATCGGTTTTGTTTCCACCGATTTAAGAAGTTATTTAATTCATTTCCTTAATTAATGAATGGGATTTTAAATCGGTTTTCAAATCCACCGATTTAAGAAGTTATTTAATAAATTATTTTTTAAATCGGTCTTAAAATCCACCGATTTAATAAAACATAAATTTTAAATCGATTTAAAAACCCACCGATTTAAAAGCTAATTAATGAATTGGATTTTAAATCGGTTGTAAAATCCACCGATTTAAAAAGTTACATGGATATTTCTATTAAACCCACAAATACTGTTTCTTCACCAAAACCTGCACATTTTACCAAAACCCACTACGAACCTTCACCAAACCCGTCGTTCTCCCTCCCTCCCTTCGTTTGCCGTTCTCCCCCCTCCGCCGTTCGCCCCCGTTCTCCCTACCTCCACCGTTCGACGTTCTCCCCCCTCCGCCGTTCGTTGTTCTCTCTTCCTCCGCCATTCTCCCTCCCTCCGCCGGTCACCGTTCTCACCACCATCCGAACACGGTTTCGATTCTGACATCATTTTAAGGTTCTATACTCCTTAATTTTAATTCATATATGTCTATGTTCTTTCATTTTTTTATTCTTATATCCGTTAAAGGTTAGGGTTATTTCAAGATTAAATTGTTGAAATTGTTGATTCTATTGTGGTTTTTTCGTCTGAGATTTAGGGGAGGTTTTGTTGATTTATCTGTAAAAATTCCTTAGAATATATGGTTTTTTGATTATAGTCATTGTTGCTTTATTTTAGACCCGAAAAATGTTTGTAAATTAGTAGAATATCTAATTTCAATGCCTCTAATATGAACTAGATAAAGACAACTGAATATTACCAACTTACTATAGGGACTAATTTCAATCTGAACAAATTTTACAGGATTAAAACAAAACAATAATAACATTTATAATATATGAATCTTATTAATAATTAAAAATAATACATTAATAATTAAATAATACAATTAAAAAATATCAATCATTTCTATAAAAACATTTATTTTAAAACAATTTTATTTATTAAAACAACACTCATTTTAAATAGAGAATATTAAAATATTCATGAAGTCTGTTACTTTTTTTATTAGGCATTTAGCCACCAAATATGTTTGAATTCGAAAACATTCAAATCTTAACACAATTATACTAAATCTAAATGAGATTCTTCCAAATCATTTTTTTGTGACAAAAGTGCCACGTACAAATACATTTGTAAAACACTGAATCTCAATATTAATGGAATGGAGAATATTATTGGAATGGAGGTTTAATTAAAATATGATATTTATTTATAGTATTTAATTATATTAATTATATAATTTATATAATGTAAATGACAGAGCTAACATTATTTTAAATATATTAGTAGTATATATAAATGACAGAGCTAATACAAATGAAAAATAATTGAGAACATAACATACTTTAAATTGGGAGTAATATTAAAAATAAAATCATTCAAACATTTAAATATTATTATATTATAAAAATAATTGATTAATGATTGATTAATTATATTTGATTGGTTAATTATATTATAATTAATTTTATTGATTGAGTTTCTAAAATAGCCTCTTTTTTTTCTTAAATGAATTGAAACAAAAGACTATAAAAAATGGTATCCCTTTCAATTGATATGATACTACCTACCTATCACACCAATTAAAATTTTATTGGTAAATGACAGAGCTAACATTATTTTAAATATATTAGTAGTATATATAAATGACAGAGCTAACATTATTTTAAATATATTAGTAGTATATATAAATGACAGAGCTAATACAAATGAAAAATAATTGAGAACATAACATACTTTAAATTGGGAGTAATATTAAAAATAAAATCATTCAAACATTTAAATATTATTATATTATAAAAATAATTGATTAATGATTGATTAATTATATTTGATTGGTTAATTATATTATAACTAATTTTATTGATTGAGTTTCTAAAATAGCCTCTCTTTTTTCTTAAATGAATTGAAACAAAAGACTATAAAAAACGGTATCCCTTTCAATTGATATGATACTACCTACCTATCACACCAATTAAAATTTTGATGATAAAAATTACATGAGAAATATAAACATATTATTAGGCTTGTTTTAATTTAGAGATATATTAAAATAAATAAATTATAATTTAGTGATATGACGTATTAAAAATTACAGTCATATTATTAGACTTGTTTTAATTTAATATATATATTTGATATTAATTTAAACTAAAATTGAATATTAATTTTTAATATTGACATATTAATTAAAATTTACTAATTTAAAATTATTAAGTTATAATTAAAAATAATTTAGTCTATATAATTGCAAATAAAAGAGGTGTCTCATGGAATTATTTACCAGTAGTAATTTATGTAAAAGTTACGAGTAATTAGTGGTGTCTCATGGAATAAAAATTGATTTTTTGTTTCTCGCAGGATTTGTGTCCCTCTTTTTCTCTTAACCGCAAGTCATTCGGCCGCCACGTAATTGCAGGTTCTGTTTTCATTCTTTATAACTTCTTAATTCTTCTTTTATGCCATGTGTTTACACATAGATACTTTTTGTTCTCTCTAATGTCTAAAAGAGGGACTATTATAGGCATTCCAATGATTTAACTCTGTATGCATTAATAATTTCAGAACATAGGTATGAATCGTAGTTGGATGAGAGCCAATCGATTAAGTTTCGAGTACGAACAAGGAGTGATGGAATTTCTAGAGCTTGCTGAAAGTAATGCTAAAAAAAATCTTGCTCCTCCTAAGAGTGATGCTGAAAAAAGTCTTCATCTGCTTTTTCTCTGTCCATGTGTTCGTTGTGCAAATCACGAACCAAAACTCAATAAGAAAGAAATCATGGATCATCTAATTTGTCATGGGATTTGTCAAAGTTATACACAATGGATATGGCACGGTGAGGTAGTAGCAAAGTCAAATGTGTCCCAAAGAGATAATGTTAGTGCAGAAATGGATGATCGTCTGGAAGACATGATGCGTGATATTGGACAAGATTCGTTTAAGAAGGCGCACGCGTATGATACTTTATGCAGTGACAAGGATAAACCTTTGTATCCGGGATGCACAAATTTTACACGTTTGTCAGTCGTGTTAAAATTGTTTAATTTGAAGGCAAATAATGGGTGGACTGACAAAAGTTTTAGCGAATTGCTTGAATTGTTGACACAGATGCTTCCAGAAGGTAACGTAATGCCAAATCGTTATTACGAGGCGAAAAAGATATTATGTCCGATGGGTTTGGAGTATGAAAAGATACATGCATGCCCTAATGATTGCATATTATACAGAAAAGAGTATGTAAACTATAATCATTGTCCAAAGTGCAAGGCATCCCGCTACAAAAAGAATGCTGGCGATTCTAGTGATGATGAGGCGGTAAAAAAGGTTCCTCCCGCGAAAGTGGTATGGTACCTACCAATAATTTCAAGGTTCAAGAGACTATTCGCTAATGCAAATGACGCAAAGAATCTTAGATGGCATGCAGAAGAAAGAAAGTGTGATGGAAAAATTTGCCATGTAGCTGATTCTTTACAATGGAAGAAAATAGATGTTTTGTTTCCAAATTTTGGCAAAGAGTCGAGAAACCTTAGACTTGGACTTTCAACTGATGGAATGAATCTGTTTGGTAATCTAAGTACTAACCATACTTGTTGGCCTGTTCTCCTGATGATCTACAACCTATCTCCTAGGTTGTGCATGAAGCGTAAATATATTATGTTATCGATGATGATTTCGGGCCCAAAACAACCCGGAAATGACATAGATGTTTATCTAAGTCCTCTGATTGATGATTTAAAAGTGTTGTGGGAGGAAGGGGTGGATGTTTTTGATGCGTATTCTGGTGAACAGTTCAATATGTGTGCCATGTTGTTTTGCACCATCAACGATTTTCCGGCATATGGCAATTTGTCTGGTTATAAAGTTAAAGGGCATAGAGCATGTCCTATATGTGAAAAAGACACATGTTACCATCAACTTGTAAAAGGAAAGAAGACTGTTTATCTCGGGCATCGAAAATTTCTAGATCGTTATCATCCATATCGTAGATTGCGGAAAGCTTTCAATGGGGAACAAGAGCATGGTGTTGCTCCAAAGCCCTTAACTGGAGAGGAAGTTTATCAACGACAACAAGGCATTAATGTCGTCTTTGGAAAATACCAAAAGCAATATACTGTGAAAAATATATGGAAAAAGAGGTCGGTTTTCTTCAATCTTCCATATTGGTCTAGTCTTGATGTAAGACATTGTATTGATATGATGCACGTGGAGAAAAATGTATGTGATAGTTTAATCGGAACACTTCTCAACATTCAAGGCAAGACAAAAGATGGTTATAATGCTCGTCTGGATTTGAGTTTGATGGGTATACGAGAAGAGTTAATTGGATTAAAATCTCATGATTGTCATGTCTTAATGCAACAGCTACTACCAGTGGCTATTCGTGGGATATTGCCTAACAATGTTAGGAAGACTATAACTAGGTTATGCTTATTTTTCAATGCAATTTGTTGTAAAGCCATTGATCCATTAAAGCTAGAAAATTTGGAAAATGAGTCTGCAGTTATCTTATGCCAATTAGAGATGTATTTTCCTCCTTCATTTTTTGACATTATGGTTCACTTGATTGTTCATCTAGTAAGGGAGATTAGATTATGTGGTCCAATTTATTTACGATGGATGTACCCAATAGAGCGATACATGAAGATCTTAAAAGGGTATACAAAAAACCCACACCGTCTGGAAGCATCAATTGTTGAGAGGTACATCGCAGAAGAAGCAATTGAGTTTTGTTCGAACTATTTGTCAGAAGTGGATGCTGTAGGGGTTCCCAAGTCTCGTCATGATGGAAGATGTGAGGGTGTGGGTACACAAGGTTTAAAGGTCAAGAGATTAAGTATTGATGTAGTTCTTCGAGCGCATTTGTATATATTGAATAACACAGATGAAGTTCAACCTTACTTATCTGCTCACAAAAGCATCATAAAGAAAAAGTACCCCAAGATGAATGAAAGATGGTTGTTAAAAGAGCATAATAAGAGTTTCTCTGAGTGGTTTAAAGAAAAAATTTCTAATGAGGATAGTGCTTCCAATACAATTAAGTGGTTGTCCTATGAGCCTAAATGTAACATAATAACTTGGAGTGGATATGATATTAATAAAACTTGCTTTTGTACAAAGTCAAAGGATGATCGTAGTACCACACAGAATAGTAGGGTTATGATTATGGCCGAGTCCATGCACTTCTCTAGTGCTAAAGATGAAAACCCGGTTATGGCATCTACACCCTACTTTGGTGTGATTGAAGAGATTTGGGAAGTTGATTATGTTGTGTTTAAAGTTCCTATATTTAAATGCAAATGGATTGATATCAACAGTGGTGTAAGAATCGATGAATTCGGAGTTACATCGGTTGATCTTAGCAAGCTAGCTTATGCGGACGAACCTTTCATTATGGCGTCTCAAGCAAAACAAGTGTTTTATGTTACAGATCCTTCTAATAAAAGGTGGTCAGTGGTTATACAAGGAAAGGTGCATGATAGTGATGAAAACCAAGATGCAAACCTTGATATTTCCGAAACTCCTCCTTTCTCAATGAATGTGCCTACCTTCGTTGAAGAAAACGAAGAGGATGACGTGCATGCCATTCGCATAGATCATGAAGAAGGCATATGGGAGGACTAGTAAGGTTATTTTATACTTTAATTTCTATTTATTTATTTATTTTGTGCTTAATTTGATGTCTAATTGTTTGTATTTTATGCTTAATTTGATGTCTAATTATTTATATTTTGTGCTTAATTTGATGTCTAATTGTTTATATTTTGTGCTTAATTTGATTTCTAATTGTTTTTATTTTGTGTTAACAGATACATGACTGATTCAACCGACAACCCTTCTTCATCTAGTGACCCTAAAAAAAGAAGAGTTAGAGGTCCCACTTTGATGACATAAATTAACAAAGTTCATCAAACGGGTGAAAAGATAAAGGTCGAGTTTCATCCGATGACTAAGGGATGTATGGGTAAAAATTCTTCAAATTTTAGGAGTTACATAGCGTCTCTTGCTCGACAAAGATGTAGTATTTTGAAAAATGAGTGGAAAGACATAGATGAAGGCATAAAAGAGGCTATTTGGACTGATGTTCAGGTATGTTTTACTGCTACACTTTATTATATTTTATAATCATATACTAACAACATATGTCGTATACTATATGTGTAGGCTCATTTCACTATTCCATAACCTCATGATCCAAACAAGGATCCGTTGAAGAAAGAATGGATTAAATATGCAGGAGAGCGATGGAGAGCTTTTAAGACACAACTCACAAGCGAGTATATTAGACACCCCAAAGAAGGTCTAGCTCCTCCATATATCAGGTATAATTATATTAAAGAAGAAGTATGGAAGGATTTTGTGCAGTCTCGAGACACTCCTGAATTTAAGGTTAGTAGGAGTTATAATTTTTTTTGCATAACATTTTTATTATGTTTAGTATGATTAATAACTTTTTGAGTTTATAATAGGAAAAAAGTCAAAAGGGTGCAGCAAATGTGGCTAAGAATGTATACCCACATGTATTATCTCGTGGAGGGTATCGTTTGCTTGAGGAGAAAATGATAAATGAAAGGAGATCATCGAGAGATGATTCTACCTTAGATGATACTGGTAGTCCATCTCCACCGTCACGCCATGAGTTATGGAAAAGAGCACGACAAAAGAAAGGGGGAGAATACACATCAAAGGCTACACAAGTTGTTGCTGAGAAAATTGTAAGTAAAAAAATATGGTTTTTTCATTTTCCAGGATTCTCTAGTTATAATTGTGATTGATAAAAAAATATGTTTTTTTCATTTTGTAGGATTCTCTAGTTGAAGAAGCTGAAAAGGGTGGCTTTGTTTCGGATGGACGTAATGATATCTTAACAGCAGCCATTGGAACATCTAAGCATGGCGGTCGTGTTCGTGGTGTTGGAAAACACCATAAACAAAGCACTTTCTTTGGCAGATCATCTTCACGTCAACGACAAGACGATATAAAAGAACAATTTACACAGTTATCATCTAAATTAGAAGCAAAGCTTAGAGCTGATTTTGATCAAAAGTTGGCTGAAGAGCGTAAGGCAATGGAACAATATTTCATGGATACACTTAGGTCTATGGGTCTCTCGCAACAAAGCACTGAAAATAATAATAAATGCATTGTACAATGTGAAGCTGTTGATGGAAGTGGAAAAGGAAGTTGTTCAGCTGCAAAAGTAAGCACAAAAGAAAGAGAAGGAGAGGCCAATGTTGAGAGATTAATGAGAATGGTTCTAAGAATGGGTGATGATCATTTGACAATAGAATTAAGTCATTGTGCGAGCGCCAGTAATTTTCATATGTCAGCTAAGTGTATCAGAGAGCTGTTGGTGGGTTTTAATTGGCTTGATTTGTCTACCCTCCAAGTTTGGTGCACGTAAGTACATTTTCTATTTTTATCAGTGTCAATATCTATTAATATGTTATATCTCTCATCACTTTTATTATAATGTTGATTTTAAAATTTTTCAGGTATATTCATCGTTTGTGTATTGATACTTCACAATCTAAAGTATACGGATTTATGGACCCTGCTATGTGTTCGTATGTTGATCATGTGCCGAGAACTCAAGCAGATGTCAAACAATACATACAACATAAGTCACGTGACGAAAAGAGAGAGTGTCACTTGCTACCATTTATTCATGGGTAAGTTTGTATGAAACTATGTTTTCTATTTTTTTTTAAATTTGGTAACATATATAATTCAATTTTGGTAACATGAAATTGTGACTTTTGTGTTTCCACACACATGTACAGAGGTCATTGGCAATTAATAGTCATGTGTCCAAATGATAATACGGTGGTCGTCTTTTGTTCCCTTCATCATGAACTTAATCAAACCATGACAAAAATTGTTACAAAGTAAGTTTATTTTTTAATGTTCACTTCATCCTATATACATAATTTGTTACAAAAGTAATATCATATATTGTGTGGCTTTATATGAATTTTTTTCTTCTGAATTAGTGCTTTTGGGGTTCATCAAGCGGCAAATGGGAATAGAAAAAAGGCTACATGGCTTCAACCCAATGTAAGTGTGGTGTAAATTATAATTAGATATTTAATTTTATCATATAAGTATTTACTAATTATGTCATTCATTTGTAGACAAGGAAACAACCTAACTCTAATGATTGTGGGTATTATGTGATGAAAAATATGTTGGATATTGTCTCTGCCAATATAACTAACTCTTGGATGAAGGTAATAAAAATGACTTTAATTTGTTATTTACTTTACGTTTTGCAACTTAATATGAATTTTCAAAGAATAACTCTATTGTTACTTACGTGTTGTAGGTATTTGATGACCCAACGAACCTATCGCCAGATGATTTGTATGATTTGCGACTCCGTTGGGAAACATGTTTCTTTGAATTATATAAAGGTTAACCTTTTTGTTGTTGTAGTACATTTGTGTAGCTTTTTGTTGTTAGCACATTTGTGTATAAAGGTTAACCGGCCTTTTTGTTGTTAGTACATTTGTGTATATCCTTTATATTGACACTTTTGTGAATCAATTATTTGTATACTAGATATTTGGTGCAATCAAATTAGATTTATGAGAAAAATATGAAACTAAAGACCTAAATATGGTCTATGTGATGTTGCAAAACTATGAAAATAGCGACCTAAATGTGGTCTATATGATGTGCACTATGAAAAATAGCGACCTAATTATGGTCTGTGTAATGTTGGAAAAATACGAAAAATTAGGTACCAAAAAAGATACAGGGAACGACTAAAAAATAGGCAAATAATTTATACTCGTAACAGTACTTTTTACATCGGGCGAAAGAAAAAACCGATGTAAAAAACTACCTTTTACATCGGTTTAACCACAGAACCGATGTAAAAAGTGTCAGCAATTTTTTTCCTACAGTACTTTTCACATCGGTTGAACCAACAAACCGATGTAAAAAAGTGTCAGCATGAAAAAAAAATTTTCCTCCAGTACTTTTTACATCGTTTTGTCACGCAACCGATGTAAAATACCCACCTTTTACATCGGTTTTTCTCTGCAACCGATGTAAAAAACACCATTTTATAATTAAAATTTACAGTTATAAATTTTTTTTCACATCAGACTTAAAAATTTAACCGATGTGATTGGTGTATTTCTTACATCGGGCCACAAACCCGATGTAAAATGTCTTTGATTTATTACATCGCCTGGCTTTACATCGGACTAAGACCCGATGTAAAAAGTCAATTTCGCCCGATGTAAAAAGTCGTTTCTGCACTAGTGTGCTCAACAATTAGTGATAAAGCTGCACAGTTAATGAACTAGCTAAGAAATCAAGACCAAAGCATACCAATATCAAATGCTGACTAAGACTTAATGAACATTAAAGCTAAACAGGCCAATTAAAAATGGTAACTCAATAAATCCCAACTAAACTTCTAAACAAAATCTATATTAAATTCTAATAAACTATTAAAAATAGAAAAGCTAGTTAAATATATTAAAACTAATAAAACTCTAATATATTCTAAAAACAGTTAAAATTCTATAAACTATTAAAAATAGAAAAGCGATTAAAACTCTAATAATATTCTAAAATAAAACATAAAACTATCTATTTAAAATCTAATGAAATAAAATTCTAGAAAATCTAGATAATTCTAATGAAAATCAATAAAAGCAATTAAATCAAAGAATAAAAATTCGAGAAAGTAACGAAATAAACGGTAAAAGTACAAATACCGAAATATCCCAAAAATAACAACGAAGATCGAATCACCGGGAAGAGCACCACTTCCAAAATAAACCTGTTAATTTGAACTGGCTTGAAGCGCTTGAAACACGAGAGAGAGGGTTGTAATCCTGATAAAATCAATTCGGATGAAAAAATGTACAATATGCGATATGGAGATGCAAATGTAAAATGAAACGAAACATAAGCCAAATTACGAGAAACGGTTGGTCAAATTTTGGGGTACAACATATCATATCCAGGAGGGTAAGGTTTTGACACCGACTTGAGAGTCTTAGGCTCCACCAATGAGTTTTGGATCAAATGTGGCAGAAGCTCACTGTACGGCATAGGAACTGGATGAAGAGGAGCATTCCTCCTTTCCAAATTGTTGCGGGGCCCATTCTGATTATGGCGCCAAGGATTTTGCTGCTGAGGAGCATGAGGTTGTTGGCGCTGATTAGGGCATTCTTTATGCTCAGGTGCTTTCATTCTCAGATTTAGCCCGGGAATCGGCAGTAGCTGTGGGCGCGGAGATTCTGTAGTCATAAATTGCACAGCACGCTCTTGACCTGATACGACTTCAGGAGAAATGAGAGGAACAACCACCTCTTTTGCACTGAGTGGCCCAAGACCACCTGGTACGCTTACGCCGCCCGGCGTAAATTCAACTGCCTGTGAATCGATTAAATCCTGAACTACGTGCTTAAAAGCTTTGCAGTTCTCGACGTTATGCCTCGGTGCCCTAAAATGGAAATCACAGCGAGCGCTTACATCATAGCCCAGTGGTAACTCACCCATAAGTGGAGACATAGTCTGAAGTTTAACCAAATGAAGTTGAAGCAAGAGTTGCAACAACTGTGCATAAGTCATGAGGATCTGGTCGAAGATTCCCTCGAGCT